TCATTTTAGGGGGCTATATATAGTCTTGGAATCATTGTAGTTTATTTATTTAAAAGAAATGCATCCTGAAAGGAATTATTTATGCTTAATAATCTGAAGGCATTTTTCATAAACTTAATACATTCTGGTTGTACATCTAGCTAGAGTTTTTGAAGTACATAACATTTAAAATATTAACTGTTGTATTATTAGTATATGTGAATGAGTAATTTATTTTGTATCAGGAATGTTTTGGTACTGTGTTTTCACTTAAACCACTGACTTATCAGCAGATACTACTGTGTATATAACATGTACTAAAGATTGTAGTCATTGTGCGAAACAGATTGTGCCTCTTAAATTTTTGTGTACACATGTTGTTCACATTTTAATGTAAATAAATACCAGTTTGCAGTTTGTTTTTTAAACTGTGTACTTTATTCTCCACTCAGGATTTGACCAGAGTGCATTTTTGAGGTATACAACCAAGTGTGGATACAGCTGCTCTGATGCTCACACTGTGTAACCTCAGCAGCTATTGCCTAGTTTCCTACATCCTGTCTCTGGGATTGTTTATATGCTTTTCTGCTTACTTGCCTCTTTTAGAACATAGTTCCTGCATCATATGGGTAGTACCTCCAGAATTCCTAATTCTAGTCCATGGCTTCTGACTGTAGTGGAACCAAGACCCTAAAGTAATCTATAGTTACTAGATTATATAGTTAATAGTTAATAGAGAGTCCTGCATAATAGACTACTGTAATCCTTTGGGTAATGGTTAGTGCTTCATAATCTAATAGTTTGTCTTAGTCATTGGATGAAAAATCAATTTTTTTTAAAGAAATATGTTTAATTAATGTAGTCTTTTCAAATGAGCCTTTAAAAAAAAATCAAGTAGACTTGATTCTGTAGCACTAGTTCCTGTGGTTCCTTCATAGTGATTTTAACTACCATTGCCGAGGGACTCAAATATGTGAGAAAATACAGTGACCCTTCCATTATTTATTTTAAAAAATACGCAGTGCCCCATCAAGGTATGCAGCCTCCAATATGGGCTCTGATTATCTGTCTCTACTTCCTAATATTCACTTCCGTGTGTAAATTCTCTTCCCTTGAATTTGGGCAAGACTTAATGACTCATTACTGGAAAACAGAATATAGCAGAAGTACTTGGGTTGTCACTTCCAAAACTGGGTTGTAGAAAGACTGGTTTCTGTCTTGATGCAAGTTGCTTCTATAAAGACCAGCTAGCCTGCTGGTGAATAGAGGTGGAGAAAGGCCCTGAAAGATGAGAGGCATGTGGAGGTAAGTGAACCCTCCAGCCCTAGTCACAAGTCTTCAGATGATGCAGCCACAGTTGAAATGTGAATGTAATCTCTTGAGAGACTAAACAAGAATCATCCAGCTAAGTGGTTCCTAGGTTCCTGATCTGTGGAAACAGAGGTGATGCATTTTTGTTGTTTTAAACTACTAATTTTTGAATTGTTATTCAGCAATAGATAACAAATGCTTGCTATACACCAGTAGTGTTCTGAATGTTTTAGTAACACCAATTTAGTTCTAGCAAATTTATGAGTAGGTACTATTATCCCCATTTTTAGATAGGGAAATTAAAGACAGGTGTTCAGTAATTTCCCCAAGATTTGCAGCTAAAAAAAAATCCAATCTATGCTTGCGTTGTGCTGCCTTATCAATCACATAATACAATCTCATAGTAACTGTTTTGTTCAGTTACTTAACTTCTGGATAGTATCTATGAAAGACCTCTTATTTACCAAGTAATGTTAAAACTAAACATTTATGTAGTACTGTTTAAGCCTTCCCATTTCTGACAAGCCAGTTTGAGTTTACAGAGTTTTTAAATACAAAATGGAGATAACAGGACCTGATTTGTTGGTTTTTCTGAGTGCCTGGCACCAAGAAAGTGCTAAATATTATGAATAGATAATGATAGAAAGATAGGGAAATGAGCAAAGAAGTTGAATAACTTGCCAAATTTATGCGGGATTATAAGAAAATGCCATGATAAAATAGGTTTATTATTTTCCCTAAAATCCTCAAGACCCTGATTCTATGGGTTTAAAGTTGCTGCAAGTCACTGAGATTTCTCCTGATAAAATATAAAAGAAGATAAATTTGCCTTGGTAGAGCATTTATTTTATTTGGAAAGGCTAGTTTGCCTCACATTAAGTTATTTGGACATTAAGACAATAATAAATGCAGTTTCTTTTACACTTCATTGAGTGAATTATTATTTGGCTTATCTAAAAGACCTAAAATATTTTAAATGATATAACACTTACAACTTTATGTAAAACATACTTTTCCTGTTAAGAATTAATCCATTCACCTTAAATTGTCTAACATGACCTATACAGTATTGGAAATTGGATCTCAATTACCAGTGATCACTACCCTTCCTCTGTTTCCCAAGTGGCTAAATGTAGATAATTTTGTCATGGATGAAAGACTGGCAGAAAGTTTGGCAGACCCTACTAAGTGCTATTGCAGAGTATTCTCTTTCATACTTGCAGAACCCACTTTTTGTTTGTTGTTCATTTGAGTTTTCTTCAGAGCAACAACCCCTTCTTTAAAAACTATTTCTGTTAAAAACTTACAGGTGGGGGATAGCTGTGTGACACAATGCTAGCCAGAGATGTAAGCGTAAATCACTAGGTAGAAACCATAGACTTTATAAACTTGCACACTTAAATTACACAGAATGTCTTGCTCCTCACCATTCCTTTCTCTTGGAATGCAAACATGATGCTGGGACGGAAAGCAATGGGTTTTGTGACCACCAACCAACAGACATGGTTTGGGTGGATGGTTGAGAAACACAGAAATAGCCCAATGGTTTTATAGAGCCACCCTGGCCAACTCTGTCTTCTCTACCTTGGGACTTCTGAGAAAAATATACCCCTTAGTGATTTTTAAGCTTCTTCCTTTGTTTTCCTTCTTTTCTTCCTTTTGCTTTGACCCTTATTATGACTCTTAAATTTACAACACTTACTATGTGGTTGGATTTCTGCTTCTGGCCAAGATGGAATAAAAAAGAACTGGTTCAACTAAATTAACAGAAAAAAAAATATGAAACAACAGTTTTCAAGGTTTTACACATTGTGGTCAGCATTAATTCTTGTCCTCTACTTCTGTAGAAGCATAAATCTAGGAATATTTATGGACAAGCAGAAGACTGTTCTGTAATACGTGGAAATTGTTCACAAATTAAACAGAAAGCCTAAAGCAGATGTTCAGAGGGTATAAGTGGTGACTGAAGTTGCATTAATACATATGCCTAGTTCCCATTGCACTCTACTGTTGACATATTCCAAATCACTAATTTTACTCTTTGTGATCACCACATTGCATTTTCTACTGTGTGTATTGGAGTAGAAAGATAGCAAGAAAACAAGTAATCATTCACAAGTATATTGATGAACTGAGTTTCATAAATATGAATTTCAAAAATTGATCCTACATCACTTTCCTTGGCACAGAAAATGCATATTTGTCTTTTCCTCCTAAATATTTTGGAGCAAGTATCTTAAAAAGTTTTCACAAATATCAAATCTTTTTTAAATTTATGGTCTATTTTTACATTTTATTCATATGCCTA